CTATTAATATATGGGAAGAAAAAATGTTTTATCTTTTGTGTGTGTGTGTGTGTGTGTGTGTGTGTGTGTGTGTGTTACTAAGGACTGAATCCAGGACTTCACAATGAACTGCACTGACAGCCATTATTTTCTTCAGTAAGAGACAAGGCCTTGCAGAATTGTGCAGATGACACTCGAACTTATGATCCTCCTGTGTCAGCCTCTCCAAGTCCTGGATTGTGTGCATGGGCGCCACTTGGCCCAGGTCTCTCTGGTCTGCCCCTGCAATGGTGGATTGCTGGTGGACCACTGGCTCGTACCTTCTCCATGATAATGAATGAATGCATAGATACTTAATTAGTATCCACATGTAAGAAGACTATTAGATCATGTTCAGCCACTTACACTGCTTGTAGTATGATATGGAGAAAAGGAAGTTAAATTATACTGGCTTCCTCAAGCTTTATGGGCTAGGCCTCAAAGATATGAGCAAAAAAAGAAAGACTACCATGATATGAAGAAATTTCTCAGATTTCTACTGGTGATTTAAAAACTCACTATGAATGACACGCCACCTGCTAATTTCTTTGTTCCATCCTAAGCTTCTAGATAATTCATTTTCATAATATTTCATCTTCCCCACAAGGTAACCAGGCCTTGTAATCATTTTTGAACTCTTAGTGGTATGTTAATTTAGAATAAGTCATTTTATGAAAACCAAATGCTTTAAACCAGTTCTGGCTTGAAGTATTTTAAAACATTCCACCCGATGTATATAAAAGTGGTATGCTTTTCTACTTCTAAAAAGAATTGCAGAAGGCCAGTAGAAATGAATTGCCTTGGCTGCGTTTCTTGAAACAATGCTACACTTCTCAGTTTGGTGAGTCAAATTAAATTTGGAAGCTATCTAAAAATTTTCTCACATCGTGATCTGTGTCTGGAGAGCCAATTAATCAAGCTCTTGTTTGAAACGACTCTAATATTAATCAGAGATCTGTGGACAGAAAGTCAGAGAACTTCACTTTCACAGTATTCAGCAATATTATAACTGAAAATAGTAACAACGGGGGAGGAGAAGAGTGGGTGCCGGGGGTCTGATATCTTGTAACCTTTGGTCAAGCCGGTATTGGCAAACTTCAACAGATTTACTTAACCAGAGATAAAACTAAACAATAGAATACTGTGCAAACAAAACAAAAGTACTAAAACAGAGTCAGGAATTACCAGTGAAAAACAGTATTACACCTAACAGCCTGCATCTGCCAGAGGCAATTTGTTAGGAGACCAGAGTCATCATTGCATTGTGGGTGCCTGAAATCAAAACTTTAAAGTTTCTTTAGGTAAAGCTATAGCACAGCATTCCAAGAGCCAGCCAAAATAGCTGAGGGAAACTAGGAAGGCCACATGTGGAACTAATTACTCATGTAGAGGCCATGACAAAGAACATTTCTCCAGACTTTTCATGGGGGCTTCACTTTCAGGAAGTTGCTATAATTACTGCTCAAGTCTAGAGCAGCCTGCAAGCCGCTGACAGATCCAACAGACAAGGAGGAGGAGGGAATGAGGGGGGAAAAATAACAAAACTTATCTGCCCTTTCTGACGAGTGAAACACCAGAAAATAAAGTACCACGGGAAAGCTCCAAAAAGGTTTCCAAATGAACTCTGCCTTCCAGTGTTCAACTTTCTGTTTACTACTTTATCTCTTCTCTATCTTCAAATGACTTCTCTAGCCTGGATCAGACGGCAAATTTGTACTGCTACTCTTAACTCACTTTCAGTTGGCCACAGCAGAACTGTACATCTTGACTCTTTTTTTACAGCTTTTCCATACTGGGGCCCACTTCCTGCCCAGTTGAGGAAAAAAATCTGGCCTGAAGATGAAATGACTGCTTAACATTACACGAGAACATCTGGTACCATTTTATGCACAGACCCATGTCTGAGAGCAGGCGATTCTAGCGGTCTCTCCAGCGGCACAGCACATACCCAAACCTCCCCAGGGTGACATCATCCCATATATGGACTCTCCAGCCCAGCCCTCCCCCTTTTCCTGGTCCTAAATTCATTGCCAGTTCCCTAGTCTGCAGCAAATGTGCCACGTCAAGACTGGAAATCACAGCCCTTGAGTGCGTCTCAGTCAGTGCGGCCGAATTCAGGGGGGAAAGCTGAATCCACCCCTGGTGCAGGAAGGGAGGCTCTTCCCCAGGACCGGGAGAGGATTTTAAGTCCACAGCTGGAAGCTTCTGGAGATCCTGCTCCGTCGCCCCAGTGTTCAGACTACCTGTTCAGGACAATGCCGTTGTACAGTAGTCTGCACATTGGTTAGACTGGGCAAGGGACAGCAACGCCATGGACTGCTGGGGACAAAATTTGCTGTTTCCAAGGAGAAGACATTGGTTTGCTCCTTTATCGAATCTCACACCCAGTGTTTCTCTTCACAGGTTTTGCACACTAGGGACCAAGAAGCGCCCAGGGACACTGCTGGGAAGGGACCACTGGAGGGAAAACCTGCGGGTAAGGCCTCTGTGACTGCTCACCTGGTCTGTGACCATGGCAACTGAGGTATGGGTCCCATGTGTGATAGAGGGCCATGTGTTAAATTTTAAAAAGCAAGGATGTATAATATGTAATGACTTACTATGTGTTTTATTATTTCTAAAGATTGGCATTCAAGTGTCTTAAGTTCAAAGGTTTTTCCACTTCAAAATGAAATGTGAAAAAACTCACTCCGAACACTTAAGAATAACTCAACAAGATTAGTTTTGAATTGTTGAAGTGAATAATTCAGAGACTAACATGATGAATGCGGGTTAAATGCATGACTTTGAACACTACAGGATTGAGTGAATTTTGCCCAAAACTAAAGAATCCTTGCTATTTTCAAAATTCCATATGAGTAGAATTTTTCTAAATATTTACTTATGTAAAATAAATACCAGGAATAACAATCCCTAACAATAAAAGATGGGCCTGCCAAGTTTTTGCCCACCAGACAATGCAGAGGAGACTTCGCCCAGAAATGAGTGCCAACCCACAACTTACTGAGTCAGCAACTGAATAAATCAGAGACTAGAAACTTCTGTCTGTAGACATCACAGTATATAACTGCATTACTTATTTTTACTTCCAAGAATGGGTGATGAATTGCTAGTCAGCTGAAACCTCTTGCCTATATTTTACAAGGCTTCTACGTCTCCCAGCTTTTAAAATGATAAGGTACTTTGTCTAGAAACCTACTGATAAAAAAGGAATTTGTAAATGAAGACAGAAGTTTTCTTTGGTCAGTTTCCAGCAGGCTTGGAGGTGAAAGAGGGTGGGAGAGGGAGAGGATGGTGGGAGGGAAGAAACCCTCAAGCTGAATGAAATCCTAAACAGAAAAATAGGAAAGTCTGGGCTGCAGTGTGATCTGGGTGATTTGTATTGAACTTTAGAGCTGGGTCCCTTAAAGAAAGTTCTGGAATACTGGCACTGCCTAACCTCTAACTCCCTCAACCCCCATTTAATTCTACCTTAAAATAATTCTGTGAAACGAAAATGTTTTTCTATAGGAAAGTGAACATAATGTCTTTGTCCTGAGCAAATAATTTTCTATTTTGCATTTTGTAACAGTTAAAATTTGACACAGATTCTGTTTTTCAAAATATTTCATTACAGAAGTTTCCCAAAGTTTCTTCTTTGTCAAAACAACTTAAAATCTATCCTGATCATTCTGCAACTGGTTGGTGTAAGGAACACCTAAGTTTTCTCATCTACTCATGGTTTTTAGTTAAAATATAACTAGCAAGGAGAAATTTAGATATTTTTAACTTAGATGATATAGTGAAGTCATTTTCATTTTCTCTTGTGACTTAGAGATTTCCATATTAATTATTTTAATAGAACATTTGAGACTTTTTAAATCTACAGCTTTTTTTACATAGAAAACAACAACATCAACAAAAACTATTAGGTAATTGATGGGAGCTTATGTTTCAAAGAAATGCAATTTTGTTAATTTATCCAATTACTAAAGGAGAAAGCTAGCTACACAGTATTTCGGCGATGTATAAGATTTCTCAAATTTTGTGGGTTTTATTTTTTTTATTGTAGAAAAAATTGAATTTCATAATTTGCTCTGATTTAATGTATATTTAAATTAAATTTCTTCCTTCATATTAGTCTTTTGTTTTTTTTCAGAGAAACTAACCTTTAGAAGTCCCTCACCTATTTTATCCCGGAGGTGACTTTTAATCTGGAGATAGAAGGGATACAATTGTGTCCTTGGCTTAAGTCCAAAAGTAAAAATATAAAAATTACTTTGTAAAGGGGTAACCAAGGAGCCCTGTCTGTGCTCAGTCCTAAAGACCCATTTGTAAGGCAAACTTTTAACAAATGAAAAGGAATAATAAATTTTAAATTGTATGAGTTAAATTAAGGATCAATCAAAACCAAAAGATCATTTTATAAACTGCTGCTGAATGAAGGCAGGAAGGTGTTCTACATGCTGGTACCAACATTTATACACACATAATCATAAAAAGTAGCTGTATCTGTTTAGAGGGTGATTAGAATAATGTTTAATATTATTTTGCTATTACCTTATAAGGAGATATACAAATATTTTAGGGATCGTGGAATCTATTCCAGAGGAAACTAACCAACAGTGAGCATCTTCGACTAAAACTGACCTGGATGTAATGGTGAGTTAAAATTAGACATTGTGGCCATAAAGAGAAAATTATTGGCAGGGTCTGTCCACACTGCATTTCATAGAAATTTCATAGTTATCATTTTAATGTGTGGATGACTGATAAATTAAGTACTGCACTGAAAGAATTTTTTCGGCTATCTAAGGAGAAGGAAATTCAGGGTATCAGCTTCAAAATCATTCAGTAATTGAAAGGGGTTCAATATAAAACAGTCCACTGAAATTTTAAAATATTTCTATAAAGCTATAGATCTCCAAATAAAAGAAAGTCTGTTTACAATGGGACAGAGTTTCATACTGATCACTTTCCTGCAGTTAGTCCATAGGCTTAATATCCTTCCTGCCTGGCATCACGCTTTCCGCCCAGATAATATGTTTATGTTTTTGAGACCAAAAGGTACTATCTACCCCCACCTTTGCTTACAGACCACCCAAGCATTTCACTCTGTGCAAAAGAATTTAGACATAAAAGTCCTAATGAAAGAATATTTTGCCTTTTCACTTTTGATTTTTTGGGAAAAGAAAGTACAACTTGGTTAAGCAAAGAAGAAAAAAAAAAACCGCATCCACAAATGCCCATATCCAGTAAAGAGAAGCCAAAGCTTTCAATTACTCTATAAGGAATCTACTCTTTTAAAACACCTCAACTTACTCTAAGGAGACTGGCCCACCCATGGCAATAATGTCTAAATAATAAGAGACCATCACTCACAAATCCCAGCTTAAAAAAACTGGAAGGTCAGGCTTTAACCTGGGACAGGAAATGCCTGAGTTAAGATTGAAACTTTCTTCAAATCCCTTTATCCTTTGGTGTCCTGCAAATTACAGAGACATAAATGTTTAGAAGTTTTCAAAGGTGGCCTATTAAGAATTTTTATATCAGTTTAATAAATAGGATTAATGAAGTAAATCAACAAAGATAATTAAATCTTCAATTTGAATTTTCTGTCGTATCATGATACTCAATTTACTGGAGTCGCCTTGCTTTAATTTTTCTATAGAAGGTAATTCTTTTCTTACATTTTTTTCTTAAAAAATAAAAGACAAAAAGGAAATAAGATATAATAAAGATTTTAAGATTGCATAGAATGATGATAATGCAATGGCTGTTTCACATTTTGACTAGGAATTTAAGAGACAAAGTAATATTCATCCTATCATTTGGGAGATGGAAAGTTGTCAGAAATTTTTTCAGTCTTTCATTTTTTTAACCAGCTTGGGACAGGTTCAACATAATATAAAATATGCATATGCCACATACATACTATAGCTGTGTTTTAAAAAACAATCAGGAGTATAAGTTGTACAAAAGCCTTAAGAGTAGATGAATTTTTCTTATTTTTCAGTTAGATTTTTTTTCACCCTGAAAAACTGCTATGACTGATTTTTCAGGCTTAAAAATTTTTGGATATCTTGGTGTAATAAAACTGTTTCATATTGAAGGATAATATATGAACTCACAAATATTTCTTTTTATTTTTTCAGGTTGCATGCATCATTCCTTTAATTGAGCACAGTAAACTGGATCAAATTATCTATGCAGAATATAGTAACTTTTAATTATTTATGCAAAATATAGTAACTTTTAATTTCTACCAGTACATTCTTTCTAAGTAAATCATTCTACAATTATTTTCCGTTGCCCTGAATGCAGCAGTAATAGCTTAATAGTATTTTCAGGTATTTGCTTTTTGCATAATCTAACCTTGAAATTACTTAAACAGCAGCCAAGTTTACTGATGTTTTTAATTCTGTGAAGAAAAATAAAAACAGTTCTACTTTGAAGTGATGAACAGAAACAGAATTATCTGTTTTTTAAAAATTAAACAAACACATAGAAATGACACATCAATTCTTTGTCAAACTTACCATATGTAGTCACTGTCTAAAAGTTCATATTTGTAGAACTGCCATTTTTCAGACACTGAAAACTATTTTTGCTCTCTATAAGGTTGCTTTACTACTTTCTCAAAAATTTATTAACATAATTAAAGGTAAATAATAAATTACTTGCTTATTTTTTAAACAAAATATTTTTTTTTAAATCCCAAGTATATACTCCTTGGATAGTGATATGTGTGTGGGGTTTTTTTTTTTTTTTAAAGAAATCCAACTCATTGGAACTTTGTCTGTATGGATATTTTGTTTTAAAGGGATGCAAGTAGAAATGCCTTTACATGTGTGAAATGGTAATTTAGATTAAAATAGCCAAAATCATTCTTGACTCCCCAGAATTGCATTTTATATCTATATATGTAATATTATTAATTCTTTATTATAAGAAAAATTTCCAAAGTTGGGATTTAATGTTTGGATATGAAATAAGTTTTCCTTTTCAGTGTTTAAGGTCCTATTTTGTAAACATACATACACTAATAATGTCCAAAATATATTCTGAGCATCACTGTTTCGAACAGCTTTCCAGTTCACATCCTTTGGTTCATTTCATGACCCTGTAAGTTAATTAAGGGGTGGAAAACTTGAAGTCACTACTGCCTTTTATTTGATTTTCACTCCATACTTAGAAACTATGCATTAAAAAGGAAAATGAAAATTTTAGATGAATTCCTCAAGATATAAAATGCCACTATCAAAGCATCAGAAACCAAAGTCCATTGGTAGAGTTGCCAAATACATTAAGCTCATTAATTATTTTGAAAATGGCTGCTATTACCATGTAAATGACAATTTTCTTCTTTGTGGGCAAGGTTATAGTTCTTATCTACTACAAGGAACATGTATAAACATAGTTTTTATCTTTAACTTCAGAATTAAAATATGCAAAGTTTTGCAAAGAGGAAAAACATCTGGTTCAGTTACTCTGAACTCTGACTGCATGCGGGCCAGTCATAATAGAAACTGTATTTGAGAATAAAACTTGTGTTTAATCTTTTTCTTCCTTAAAATTTTAATGTGAGTTTTCTGTTATGCCAAATATCCATGTTAGCACATTGGAACGAATGTATAAGTGTACTTTCTGAATAAAGTCAAACGTCTAACTTGTTTTTAGTTCCACAATATTTTAATGTTTAATTCTGCTGTGTGTTTTTCTCCCTCTCCCCTCACCCTCCCAAATCACCTAATCTGGAAAACAGGCTGATTGTATCTGTCCATGAGCAAAGGAAACCTGAAGGAACCAAGGGCCTGGCTGGACAGAGTTGTCATGTGTCTGCCTGTCTACACTTGCTGTGCAGAACATCCGCTCACCTGTACAGCAGGCACAGACAGGCAGTCACATGACAACCCAGCCTGAATGACAACCAGCCATTGAAAGAAAGCAGTCCTCACACCATAGCATCCAAGAGCTACAACCAGAGTGAGGGGCTTGGGGTCTGGGCTTTTAATCTGTTGGCTTAATACTTAACTCGTATGTATTATTCTTATTATTTTATTTTGATTCAAATATTAAAACCCACCAAAAAAGTAAAGTAAGTGGTGCCTATGAAATATAATAAAACCCATTTCTGAAAATGTTCCTGTGCTTTCTATAATTCTCTTTTCCTAATTGTTGTTAGCAAATCATTACCCTTGACATTTATTGTATACATCTTTGAAGCATCCCATAATTTATCTTTTTTTAAAAAAAATCAATATAGCAAAACAGAACTTCAGTTTGATGTTTGACAAGAAATAAATTATTCTAATAGTTCTAATACATAAACTAAGTATTGTTTTCTATATTGTAATTTTTTTTCTTCTATGGGGAGGTGGTGAGGCATAGAAAGAGAAGAAAAAGGAGAAAAGGGTAATATTCTAAAGGATCAAGTCTCTTAAGAAACTCACAGACTTGTCTATGTAAGCTATAGTGGGGAAAAGTATTTCCAACATATTTTCAAATTTATTAAAATAATTGCTCCTATTTTGATAAATGGAAAGTTGAAATTGAAACATCAGTATTTTCAAGTGTCGTGATATACATAGAATTATTACGTTCTCATTGTTCAATTAAGAAGCGGCTTCTGCAATGATTCTGGGAAAAGAATATACAGGGTCGATGCGTTCATTTGGAACACGCCCGCATTCACCACATTCATGCTCTTCAGAACTTTCAGAAGCTTGAGGAAAGTACTTAATGGATATGCACTGCTTATCTTCTGAGGAAAAAAGTAAAACTTCAATTTGTGCATGGTTAATTG